TTGTATTACCAGAAATTGTCTTACTTTAAGGAGATGAGAGGGGCTGTATTACTTACTATTGGAGAAAGCATAACGGCTAACTTGGATCACGTGTCCCTTAATAACCAATCCAATAACCATTGAATTTCAGTCAGATCTAGGGTTGGGTACCGAAACCCGGTGCCAATATGGTACCTATGTAACCGGTATGTGTACTAGAACCGAATCAGAACGCAGATTTCGGGGCCTCATTTCGGTGCCACCAATGCTTGTGCGATCAATTGAAATATTTGTTCTCTGGTTCTCCGAAATGGACGTAAGAAGCATCATCACCGGCACCGCATGTGAAAAATAATTTCCCAACTGAGAAAATTCACAAACGCAAGTTGGAAAGCTCTAATAATACAAATCCAACACATCTTTTTGTAGTAACGCGAGTGTCCATGTTGTTTTCACATTCCGACTTAAAAGCACAACTCGGGAAATAAGAGCATCCGAGGAACGCGTGAATGCAGCAATTACACTTGCTCTGATGGCAGCAGGTAGATACCGTTCTATACTGTAAAAAAGCATATGGTAAAAAGGCTATGTTGATTAGCAATGGATTATAAATATACTTAATTATGATGAAAATACCAAAGATGGCTTGAATAACACAGATAAACTATACATTGTCGCAGTCAAGTGTTTATTGTCTTTGTTTTATCATTCAAAACCTTTATATTTTCTGTTTACTCAGTTACAGTAATAGCAATGCCTTTGTCCATATTAGGGATTTCCTGAGTCCTTTTGTGATACTCATGTGGAGTTTCTGTGCCAGGGCGCCCTCTGGCGTCCAGTGTGAATGAAACAGACATTAAAGGGGTCATATGATGCGATTTCAAGTTTTCCTTTCTCTTTGGAGTGTTACAAGCTGATTGTGCATAGATAAGATCCCTGAAGTTGCGGAGGGACTTTGTAGAAAACGAAGCGTTTGAGAGAGGCGGGGCATAGAGGACCTACAATAATGTACAGTATTTGAAAAATAATGTGTTTTTTGAACATTAAAGCATGTCAACATATTCTGTTACACCAAAAACACAAAATAATAATCTTTAAAAAAGCATCATATGACCCCTTTAAGGGCACTGTGCTCTGGCATTTTTAAGACCTGGGACAGTCTTGCACACTTACTTCCTGTCGCACGCACACGCTCTCAAGTGTCCAAGACCGCAAGTGTGGGTATTTGGACAAGGGGTGTGGGTATTTGGAGAAGGGGGCTGTGACTGGAGCACTGATGGCAGGAAATGACGGTAGCTCTGGTAGTGAGCCGGAAATGGAAGACGAATCGTGTAGCGGGAGTGCAGGAGGGAGTGAATGGTGGAAAGTAGTCAATCTTAGATCGTAGAAAAGAAAGAAAAACAATAGTCAAGGATCATTTACGGATAGTGGAAAGGAGGATCACGTGAGTAGGACAAATATAGAGGAATACAAAGTAATGATGAAATTGGCAGAACCTGGTATGACGATAAACCGATTAAACTGACCAAATCTCTGAACAAAGCGTTAGGAGAAATAAATAGGGCAAAGACTCTGAGAGATGGAAACTTGATTATCATGTGTAAGGACAAAAAACAACAAAATAAGGCACTAAGTATAAATTCGATGCTTGGATACCCGGCATCATGCACATTGATGGAGACGAAGCCTTGGGTTAGAGGCGTAATAACTGGAATTCCTACTGATGTACATGCTGATAAAATTAAAAGTTGCATTGAAGGGATCTCCTGGAAGAGATGATATATGTTATGTAATGATTCAACATTTAGCAGATAGATCCTTAAAAATTATTTTAAATCTTTTTAACAAGGTGCAGGAAAATCCCTTCTTCGCGGAAATATGGAATAATAGTACCAGTAGGCAAACCTGGAAAGGACAAATCCAATCCAATTAATTATAGGCCAATTGCATTAACTTCTAATTTATGTAAACTGATGGAAAAAATGATCATACATAGACTAAATTATATATTGGAAATAAAAGGTCTTATATCGCAATATCAGAGTGGATTTAGGGCTTGTCGGAATACAATGGATGCTGTTTTAAGCCTAGAAGCCGATATCAGGAAAGCTCAGACAAATAAAGAAGTATTGCTGGGGGTTTTATTTGATATTGAGAAAGCCTAAGATATGCTTTGGAAAGAGGGACTTTTAATAAAACTTAAATGTATGGGAATTGGAGGAAAGTTATATATGATTATGGATTTCCTTCCTGAAAGAACAGTACAAGTTAGGGTAGGAGTAGAGTATTCTGAGACGTACACAATAGACAATGGAACTCCTCAAGGAAGTGTATGCAGCCCAATAATTTTTTATATTATGATTAATGATATTTTTAGTAATTTTAAAGGTGATATTGGAAGGGCATTATTTGCTGATGACGGGGCAATATGGAAAAGTAATATTGCATGTGTGTCTCAAAGATTACAAAACGCAGTAGATAAAGTGGAGGTATAGGCAAATAATTGGAGCTTCAGATTATCTGTGGCTAAAACTCAAGTTATATGTTTCACAAAAGGGAAAAATGTACCAAAGGTTAAGTTGAAGTTGTACAAACAGGAGCTGGAGCAAGTCTCAGTAGTTAAATATCTCGGTGTTTGGATGGAATCTAGATTGACATTTACAATGCACATTAAAAAACTGATTAAGAAATGTAAAACAGGAGTAAATATCTTACGATGTCTATCTGGGGTAGAATGGGGAGCTTGTAGATTGTCATTGAAAAGAATTTATTGTACATTAATCAGACAAAGTTTAGATTATGGAAGTATTATTTACGGATTTGCATCTAAAACCACACTCAAAAAGATTGAAACTATACAGAATCAAGCTCTTAGAATATGTTGTGGTGCCTTCAAAACATCTCCCATTGCAGCCATGCAGGTAGAAGTTGGGGAAGCTCCTTTATTCCTTCGTAGGTATAAATTAAGAATTAATTATTGGGTTAATTTAAAAGGACATAAAGAGAGTCATCCAGTAAAGGGTGTGATTGAAGAATACTGGGAGCATGGAAACAAAAATATTAAAAGCTTTGGATGGATTGGTAAAAGGGAAGCACAAGTTGTTGGTATTGCAGACTGTGATGTTAGCCCTACTGTGATATTATCCAGTATACCACCATGGATTTTTCCTATGCCAATAGTCGCTTTTCAAATACAAATAAAAATTAAGAATGAGAAAGAAACCCCTAAGAACATTATTGCACACAGCAGTATTTAGATCAGATTTATCCATCGTGGTTACATATTTATACTGATGGTTCTAAAGACCCTATCTTTTACCTACACCTACAATTTGCACATAATATACAGTACCTGTACATACAAAACTGTCTATTGTAATATACCTGCACATACAATTGTCGATTTATATATTTTTATTCCTCATTTACCTTGTTACCAAGCTTCTGTCACAAAAACAAATTCCTCGTATGTGTAAACATACCTGGCAATAAAGCTCATTCTGATTCTGATCTCTGGCAGAACAGCTGCTGCAGTATTTATTCCAAAGTTTCAAACTAATATTAAGAAAAGAATAACTGATCACGTATCCGTGTATACAGCAGAATGAATTGCCATGGTGGTAGCACTCCAGTGGGTAGAGGATGTAAAACCAAGATTAGTAGTAATATGTTCTTACTCTTATGCAGCAATATTGAGCCTTGCAAGTGGAGTAAAATCATCAAGGCAAGACATTATATATGAGATTCTTGCATGTTTGTTAAAAATAAGTAATGTAAGCTTAATAACATTATTGTGGGTTCCCGCTCATGTGGGAGGGGAGGCTAATTAAGTGGTTGATAAGCTTGCTAAGCAAGCTCTTAAACACTCAGAAATAGATATTCAAGTGACTCTTAGCAAAAATGAGGTTAAAGGGAAATTTAAAGAATTCATAAACAAAAAATGGCAAGAAGTATGGAACTGTGATAGCAAGGGCAGACAAATGTATAATATTCAGCAGCAAGCAGGAATGGAAGAAGTGTTTTTAGGAACAGGAAAGAAGATACAATTATTTCTCGCATCCGAATAGGGCATACTAGATTAAATTACCCTCTGTTTAATATAGGAAAACATGAAACGGGTCAATGTATTTTTTGTAATCAGGCAGAAACAACAGAGCATAATAAAAATGTTTTCATAAAATGTAAAAAATATGAAAAATATAAGCTTGCTAAGCAAGCTCTTAAACACTCAGAAATAGATATTCAAGTGACTCTTAGCAAAAATTAGGTTAAAGGGAAATTTAAAGAATTCATAAACAAAAAATGGCAAGAAGTATGGAACTGTGATAGCAAGGGCAGACAAATGTATAATATTCAGCAGCAAGCAGGAATGGAAGAAGTGTTTTTAGGAACAGGAAAGAAGATACAATTATTTCTCGCATCCAAATAGGGCATACTAGATTAAATTACCCTCTGTTTAATATAGGAAAACATGAAACGGGTCAATGTATTTTTTGTAATCAGGCAGAAACAACAGAGCATAATAAAAATGTTTTCATAAAATGTAAAAAATATGAAAAATAAAGATTAAAACTCATTAAGTAAATGTTTAAATAAAATGTAAAAAATAGGAAAAAGAAAGGTTAAAACTCATTAAGTAAATGTTTTAATAAAATGTAAAAAATATGAAAAAGAAAGGTTAAAACTCATTAAGGAAGTAAGAAACATGGGTGTTGAATCATTTAATTTGTCAAACCTTTTGAAAGAGCACGCACAAGGTAAAACATATGGTGCTATTGTTAAATACATTAAAGAAATTTGATTAATCAGGAGAATTTAGGAATGTGTGTTTTTATATATATATA